GCTATTTGAAGGCAAATTTGAACGGTTTAAGTTTGAATGGCTTTGGAGTAGTCTCATCTGGAGAAACAGGAGCTATTGGAAGGCCAATTTGAACGGTTTAAGTTTGAATGGCTTTGGAGTAGTCTCATCTGGAGAAACAGGAGCTATTTGAAGGCAAATTTGAACGGTTTAAGTTGGATTGCCTCTGGAGCAGTCTCGTCTGTAGAAACAAGAGGTCTTTGAAGGCAAATTTGAACGGTTTAAGTTTGAATGGCTCTGGAGTAGCCTCTTCTGTAGAAACAGGAGTTATCTGAAGGCACCTCGCTAGTGTACTAGTTCATGTCTTATAAGTTGCAACAACAACAACAACACAGCTCTCAGAAAAATCAAAAAATCAAAATGGAAAGCCACTGGCATCAAACCAATAAAAATCAAACCGGATAAATTATCAAAAGAGTCAACTCTTGAGTTAACTTGAGTCAAAACGAGTCAACTCTTGAGTTAACTTGAGTCAAAACGAGTCACTAAAACTCTTAACGTTATCGCCTTGCTGGCAACAAGAGTTACTCAAATTTGCCAAAGTTTCCAGTTGTGAAATGAAACGAGATGGATCAGTGACAAGAAAGAAATTGAAAAGAAATGAAAAAAAAAGGGTGAGTGCAGGAAGAATTCGCAAACATTCCCCCTTTCAATAGAAAAGCTCATCGAAGAGCGATTCGAATTGGGGGGAAAAAGGCGGATCAACTAGAGGGTGATTCGAGGCACTAAAAAGACCGGATGCCCTCTCACAATCTCTGTGGGAGATCCTACCATTCCCGATCCCCTTTTTCAGCCACAAATGCTAATGAGATAGGATGAGGCACAAAAATTTCGGGATTTTAGAAGCCACGACTTTCTCAGCCCGGATTTTTGCTCTAATTTTTGTTCTAATTTTTGGGAAAACGAAAAAATGTTAGCAAAAATCCTTCAACCCAACGCTCAACGATTTTTCCAAAGCATTTTTTAGATAGAGAAGAAGATCAAGTTGTAAAATTGAACCAAGAGAGGCTCAAGATTTGCTCATCCTCGTCCATTTTGGGTTTCATACTTTGCACAAATGCTATTATAGAAATATATTAGGTAAATGCATAAGAAATGCGGATTTGAACATTTTCATAAATTCCCAACGATAGAAGTCTGATATCGATGAATGTTATAAACTATTTGAAAGTTGTAAATCTCCTCTACAAAATAGGCTAAAACGTGTTTCAATTGATCGAAGCATTGAAGAAATCTCGAGGGTGACATGCGAATGACCAAGAAAGGAATCGAGTCACTTTAGGGACAAGTTTAGTGTGGTCAAAATAGAGTTAGCTTCCCAAAATTGAAGATTTAGAAAGAAAAGCTTATGACATTGAAAGCTCAACACTAAAGAATGGTTCTTTAATAGCTCAGATTTTAGAGCAATCATCACCAACAATAAAAAGGAATACAGAAAGCAAATCGACGGTTATTGCGCTTTCTATTAGGTACATTCATAAGAAATGCGGATTTGAACATTTTCATAAATTCCCGATAGAAGCCTGATATCGATGAATGTTATAAACTATTTGAAAGTTGTAAATCTCCTCTACAAAATAGGCTAAAACGTGTTTCAATTGATCGAAGCATTGAAGAAATCTCGAGGGTGAAATGAGTGAGAAAGCGAGTGACCAAAAAAGGACACTTTTTGAAAACCCCACTTTCACAAGCGTTCAGTTTTGACTATATAGTGGAAAATGACCAGAAAATGACCGGAAAATGAACGAAATACCATTCAAAATAATTAAGAGTTGGGATCATTTCATGGGAAAACTTTATTTTTACAATAATTTTTCTTTTTTTGTGAAAAAGCCGCTTTTTTGACAATTTTGAGGGTTTTGAACTTACGCTCTATTTAAATTTCTGTAAATACATTTCCGTTAGACTTTCTTAATGAATTCATATATAGTTATCCTTCTTTTTTTGAAATCTTCAATTTTGGGAAGCTAACTCTATTTTGACCACACTAAACTTGTCCCCTAAAGTGACTCGATTCCTTTTTGGTCACTCGCATTTCGGCCTCATATCATATTTGAAAAAAGATCGTCACTTTCGCGCGTCTGTAACTCCCTTGTCTTTACCGTATTTCTAAATATTAATATTACCATTGTGTAGCCCTTGAAAAGAGCTTTCAGAAAATGTATTTCTTCAATGGCTCGATCAATTGAAACACGTTATAGCCTATTTTGTAGAGGAGATTTGCAACTTTCACATAGTTTATAACATTCATCGATATCAGGTTTCTATCGTTGGAGATTTATGAAAATGTTGAAAATGTTGAAAACCCCACTTTCACAAGAGTTCGGTTTTTCTCCGATGGAGATTTGACAAAAACGTCGTGCCGGACAGCGATCATCGGATGAATGGCAGCGATCAGTGTTGGCTCATGGATGAAGGGCAGCGATCAGTGTTGGCTCATGGATGAAGGGCAGCGATCAGTGTTGGCTCATGGATGAAGGGCAGCGATCAGTGTTGGCTCATGGATGAAGGGCAGCGATCAGTGTTGGCTCATGGATGAATGGCAGCGATCAGCGTTGGCTCATGGATGAAGGGCAACAAAATTTCGTTTCTCACAATCCTACAATTCATTTATGAATGGACTCGACAACGGACCTCGATCGACTATTGTGCGAAAGAATTGAAGATGAATCACAACACTGCGGCCGACAAGAACAAGAGGCGTCGCGTCTGTAGCTCGATAGGAAATGACGGAAGTTGACGATCTAACGGCGGAAACGTTGCTTGAGAGAATACAAGACTTTGTCGAACCCGACTCAGTGATAAAGTGCAAATTTCCGTCATTTCCTATCGAGCTACAGTACTGGACAATGAAATATCATATTTGAAAAAACACTTTCGCACTTTCGCGCGTCTGTAATTCCCTTGTCTTTGAGTTTAAACTATTAGTGTAATACATTTTCTGAAAGCTCTTTTCAAGGGCTACACAATGGTAATATTAATATTTAGAAATACGGTAAAGACAAGGGAGTTACAGACGCGCGAAAGTGCGAAAGTGTTTTTTCAAATATGATATTTCATTGTCCACTAGTGTACCTCGCTGAATTCGTGGTCCGACAAGAAGGAAAGGGCGGTGGTTTAACAAATCGCTAGCTCGGTATAATGGTGGCTCTTTTTTGAAATCCATAAAGGAGAAAGAGCTGTGAGCGATTGAGCGATTGGGCGATTTCTACGAATGGGGCGCACTACTATTAGAGGGAATACAGTATTTCAAAATCAATTGCGTTGTATGAGGGTAAAGGAAAGCCATTCGTCTTTCTAATAGGCACAAAAGTATGCATTTAATTTTATCCCAAAAAAATTTACACACCACGATTTACCAACCCACTCTGCGACGAGAAATATTATTAAAAATCCCTTTTTTTCTCTTGATTGTGTAGCATGCCAAAAGCTTTTTTGGGATATAATGGTGGTTCCTTTTTGTCTAACGAGACACTGAAAACTCTATGTTTACGTGGAATAATAGTTTTTGAATCTGGAAACCGTTTCGTTGGTTTAGCAAATCGCTAGTTCGGTAAAATGGCGGTTCTTTTTTGGAGAAAGAGAGAAGGAGAAAGAGCTGTGAGCGATTGAGCTTCTCCGATTGAGCTTCTCTGGTGGAGCTTCTCCGATTGAGCTTCTCCAATTGAGCTTCTCTGGTGGAGCTTCTCCGATTGAGCTTCTCCAATTGAGCTTCTCTGGTGGAGCTTCTCCGATTGAGCTTCTCCAATTGAGCTTCTCTGGTGGAGCTTCTCCGATTGAGCTTCTCCAATTGAGCTTCTCTGGTGGAGCTTCTCCGATTGAGCTTCTCCAATTGAGCTTCTCTGGTGGAGCTTCTCCGATTGAGCTTCTCCAATTGAGCTTCTCTGGTGGAGCTTCTCCGATTGAGCTTCTCCAATTGAGCTTCTCTGGTGGAGCTTCTCCGATTGAGCTTCTCCAATTGAGCTTCTCCAATTGAGCTTCTCCGATTGAGCTTCTCCGATTGAGCTTCTCTGATTGAGCTTCTCCGATTGAGCTTCTCTGATTGAGCTTATGCGATTGAGCTTCTCCAATTGAGCTTCTCTGATTGAGCTTCTTCGATTGAGCTTGTGGTCGTCACTATTCCCAAATCTTTGGGATCAATTTCTGCCATAAATTTCGCTGTATCTTTTGATACAAATTCCAATACAAATTCTACATCTTTTTAAACCGAAGCTAACTAAGAAACTCAACGCTAAAATTGATCTGAAAACGTTGAAACTGATCTGATATAATCAAAAATCCTTTCTTCCTTTTCATTAGATGTTGTTTGGTCCGAATTGTTTCCTGTTTTCTTCTGTTAATTCAATTGTTTCTCTTTTCTCAGTCTTTCCCCTCTAGAGGCGGGGATTTTGCAAAGAAAGAGGAAGGAGAAAGAGAAGGAAGAAAGAGAAAGAAGAAAGTCTCTTCCTAGAGTCGAACTCCTAAAAGTCTACCAGTACCTTTCAGTAGAACTCACTTCTTCTATCATTTCTTCAAGTTTCTACTTGAAATTTTCTAGATTCAAACATTCAAAGAGAAAAACAAAATGATTTTCCTCAGGTTGGTCATTTTCTCAAGCCTGTTGACTATTCTAACATTCTTTTTTAGCTTAGGTAGCTCTTTTTTGGATCTAATCGATTATCAAAAATTCAAGGATGATGTTTATCATCCAACTTAAGTTTATACTAGAGTTTATAATGCATCTAAGACTTCTAGCCGGACTCTGACCTGACCTGATCTAGCTTACAGTCAACAAGCCAAACTGTTGTGCAACAGGCCAAACGGATTCACTGTTAAGCCTTTGCTCTGGTGTTTTGCTTCTAAAAAAACAATCATTCCAATCCAAAATGCCATTTAAAATTCCCCGTTTAGAACCAAACGAAAAAGGTTTTTAATGTAAATTTCCCACACTTGAAATAAAATCCTTGAATTCTCATTTCTTTTTTTCAGCAGAGATTCCACAAATGAACGCGGTCGTTAATCAAGTGTTGCCGATGCGATTGCAGTTACGGGTTTGTTTTTTTTGGAAATTTGATTAAGCTTAATGATTAAAGTAATAAAAAAACATAATAAAACAAATTCACGACGAGGTTTTTTGTTTTTCCGTGAGTTATTTCCCTTTCAGCTCGTCGAAAAACGTTTACAGGTAACCGATTTACTGAAGTTAAACGTCAAAATGAAGAGAAACTTCTGAGGATCATTTATAGATAAATAGATTAAAGAGATATTGAGTTTGAAGAAAGTTATGAATGTTTTAGCAGGGAGTTAATGATTCGGATTCGGTGATTCGAGAATTAATTTGTATTCAAAGCTTTATAACTCTCTTCAAATTCAATATTTTTTCAAGCAGTTTCCAAATAAATGATCCTCAAACATTTCTCTTCAATTTGATTCCTAACTTTAGTAAATCGGTTGCCTGTAACTTAAAATGCATTCTGTAAATCGTAAATTATTTCCAGCTCCTCTAAAAACGTTGACAGGTAACCGATTTACTGAAGTTAAAGGTAAAAATGAAGAGAAATCTTTGAAGATCATTTATCTGAAATCTGAGATTAAAGAAATATTGAATTTAAAGAGTGTTCAGAATGTTTTAACATAAGAAATTTCCTAGCCCACAAGTGAACCGAGAATTAGCATGCATTTAAAATTCATAACTTCCTTCAAACTCAATATTTCTTTAATCTATTTATCTATAAATGATCCTCAAACGTTTCTCTTCATTTTGACCTTTAACTTAGTAAAAGAACGATCTTAGACGAGCTGCAAGAATCAGCAGAAGAATAAAAGTACTCGGATTGATGCATGGATGTTTTATATAGTTTTTAAAAAGCAAATTTTTGGGGGATAGAACCGGAGAGTACTTTTATTTGATTCTTGCAGCTCGTCTAAGATCGTTCTTTTACTAAGTTAAAGGTCAAAATGAAGAGAAACGTTTGTGGATCATTTATAGATAAATAGATTAAAGAAATATTGAGTTTGAAGGAAGTTATGAATTTTAAATGCATGCTAATTCTCGGTTCACTTGTGGGCTAGGAAATTTCTTATGTTAAAATATTCTGAACACTCTTTAAATTCAATATTTCTTTAATCTGTTTTCCGATAAATGATTCGTGAAGATTTCTCTTCATTTTAACCTTTAACTTCAGTAAATCGGTTACCTGTCAACGTTTTTAGAGAAGCTGGAAATAATTTACGATTTACAGCATGCATTTAAAATTACAGGCAACCGATTTACTGAAATTAGGGATCAAATTGAAGAGAAATGTTTGGGGATCATTTATCTGAAAAGAGATTAAAGAAATATTGACTTTGAAGAGAGTTATAAACCTTTGAATACAAATTAATCCCCGAATCACCGAATCCGAATCATTAACTCCCTGCTAAAACATTCCGAACTTCCTACAAACTCAATATTTCTTTAATCTCTTTTCAGATAAATGATCTTCAAAGCTTTCTCTTTATTTTGACCTTTAACTTAAGTAAATCGGTTGCCTGTGAACTTTTTTAGACAATCTGGAAGGGAAATAACTTACGCAAAAATCAAAAAAACCTCGTCGTGAAGGTAAGATTGGCCTTAAAAGTTGGCCTTAAAAAGGTAAGATTTTAAAGGTAAGATTGGCCTTAAAAGTAACGCAAATCTTACTTTTTAAAAATAAGATTGAGCTTTCAATCTTGTCTTTTCTTAATCAATAAATATAACTACACCATAAATCACCATTTGTATGTTTAAAGTGCAATTAACAAAACTTTAAAGTCAAAGTGTAGTTTGCCCAACTCTTTGTCGTCTTAACCAATCGTCTTAACCGTCTTAATCATCTGTTTTAAGACGCAAATCTTTTTGACAAACATTTCGTAATCAATTTCCTTATTAGAGTGTTCGCCAAGTGTTCTCCGGTCGATACAAATTGTTAGCAAACACTGGGGTCTCATGCACGATACTCGGCTCGGCTGATGCCATTCAGCAGCTCATCATGGGCACTTGGGATCCAAGAGATCCGAAAAAGCCGTGGGATTGGAAAAGAACAGGTTTGATGTTAAAAAGAGTGCATAGACACGCAAACAAATGCTTTCTAGTGCACTGAAGTCATGCTTAACGTTAGCTAAAGAATTTTGGCCTACTATTAAATCAAAATCAACCATGCTTCCTGTTTTTATAAAACTGGAAGCTAACTGACAAGTTGATCATCTACATTTAACTAGTTTTTAGCTAGTTTAGCTAGTTTCCAGCTAGTTTAGCTAGTTCTCAGCTAATTTAGCTAGTTTCCAGCTAGTTTAGCTAGTTCTCAGCTAATTTAGCTAGTTTCCAGCTAGTTTAGCTAGTTCTCAGCTAATTTAGCTAGTTCTCAGCTAATTTAGCTAGTTCTCAGCTAGTTTAGCTAGTTTCCAGCTAGTTTAGCTAGTTTCCAGCTAGTTTAGCTAGTTCTCAGCTAGTTTAGCTAGTTTCCAGCTAGTTTAGCTAGTTTCCAGCTAGTTTAGCTAGTTTCCAGCTAGTTTAGCTAGTTTCCAGCTAGTTTAGCTAGTTCTCAGCTAGTTTCCAGCTAGTTTAGCTAGTTCTCAGCTAGTTTAGCTAGTTTCCAGCTAGTATAGCTAGTTTCCAGCTAGTATAGCTAGTTTAGCCAGTTTCTAAACTTTAAAGTTATCATTTAAAACATTTAGCTTCATTCTTGAAAGCCCAAAAACTTCAGGCATCACAATTCCCACTCTTTCATCGATTCGTTTTACAGAAAAAGCAAAATCGCGTGATCTCATCGAATTATTTTGAGGACACCCTTTTCCTTTCAAGAGAGTTCCTTTTAAGTACAAAGCATCACTTTTTGTCTTTTTTTTTTTCAAAGATCTTCTTTTTCTTCACTTGAAAGAAGCACTCAATTAGATAGATTAGCAGAAGGGGGTCTTTCCCCGGGGAAATCAACCACCACCCACCCATTCCCCTTTGCGTCACCCTTAACGAAAAAGTAGAAGTCGAAATCCACAAATTGCGGCCAAGAAGGACTAATTCTGGGCAGAAAACAAAGCTAATTTCCTTATGTGGGTTTAATGATGCTTAGTAGAGGCTGGGGTTGGACTCTTTTAGAGTCCTAGACTTCTAGAGTCCTAGACTTCTAGAGTCCTAGACTTCTAGAGTCCTAGACTTCTAGAGTCCTAGACTTCTAGAGTCCTAGACTACCTAGACTTTAAAACGTCTAGGTAGTCTAGGACTTTCTAGGTCTAGGTCTAGGACTAAAGTCGATCTGCTTGTCGAAGACATTTTTACCCGGTTTACTGGAAAAGGCGAAGAATGGTAAGAAGAAGAAGTCATAGCTAAAGTCAGTGGAACTATACACCAGATGCAAGATGATTCCATTTTGACAAGATGGCAAGAAGTGGTACCACTCCTTGGTTCTGATGAATGTCATACATAGTGCAGCCCAGTCCTGATTAGGCTAGACTAGTCTGGTTCTGCTGGTTGGCTGAAAGGCTGAAAGGCTGAAAGGCTGAAAGGACTGATTTTTCAGTATAGATGATAATAGTAAGAATAGATATCGATAGGCAAGTCTAGTTCAGATTAGACATGGGAAATCGGGATGAAATCGGGATGAAATCGGGGCGGTTTGGGGCAACGATATTTTGTTTTACCAAAACAAGTTATTGTTCTAATTATTTTTGCATTGAATAGAGCCTCTTATGGTCTACATTTTGATCTCTAAGACTTCTCAATGTCTTTTTGAATTGAACGAGAAAAGCCTGTTTGACCCGTCGCCCCGATCCGAAAGCATCTTCGGGTCGGGGCGACGGGTAAAACGTATTTTTTTTCGTCATCCACAGGAGATTTTGCTATTTTTTACATGTCGAAATGTAGCCCATAAGATGCTTTATATAATGCAAAAAGAAATTGATCAATAACTTTTTTCGGTAAAAACTTTTGGCCAAAATATTGTCGCCCGATTTCACCCCGATTTCACCGCCCCGATTCAACCGCCCCGATTTCTCATGTCCATTCCAGATACCGTATTACGGCAGCAGATATATGTCAAACTATAATTCCAGGCCGTTTTGCCGCATGTGGTCTCCTTCAGGGTCCAATGTTGCACTACCTCTACCGTTTCATGGATTTCCATGTCAAATTTCGAGGACCAAAGCTAGCAGTGGTGTTGCAGAAATGTATGATGGATGTCTCGTCGGCACCATTGTTTACAATGACAACGATTTGTGGTAGGTGTCATTGATTGGTGTCATTGATTGATGTCATTGAATGGTAACATTGATTGGTGTCATTGATTGGTGTCATTGATTGGTGTCATTGATTGATGTCATTGATTGGTGTCATTGATTGGTGTCATTGATTGGTGTCATTAATTGGTGCCATTGATTGGTGTCATTGATTGGTGTCATTGATTGATGTCATTGATTGGTGTCATTGATTGGTGTCATTGATTGGTGTCATTAATTGGTATCATTGGATTGGTGCCATTGATTGGTGTCATTGATTGGTGTCATTGATTGGTGTCATTGATTGGTGTCATTGATTGGTGTCATTGATTGGTGTCATTGATTGGTGTCATTGATTGGTGTCATTGATTGGTATCATTGGATTGGTGTCATTGATTTGAAATTGATGTCATTGATTGAAAAGTACTGCATTTCACTTTGAGCATAAATCCACTAAAGGATTCGAGTTGAACAATTTCAAATTCAGGTGTCGGCATGATGGAGGGGCACACGCTACGTGATGGTTTAGCCGAATATCGGCGAAAATTTTTGCACATTTTTATGGTAAGATAAAAGTGCCATAGTTCTGGAACTATAGTAGGTCGGAATGAGCATTGCTTAAAGCACTACTTAAAGCATTACCTAAAGCATTACTTAGTGCATTACCTAAAGCATTACTTAAAGCATTACTTAAAGCATTACTTAAAGCATTATTTAAACCATTACTCAAAGCATTACTTAAACCATTACTTAAAGCATTACTTAAACCATTACTTAGTACATTACTTAAACCATTACTTAGTGCATTACTTAAAGCACTACTTAAAGCATTACTTAAAGCATTACTTAGTGAATTACCTAAGGCATTACTTAAAGCATTACTTAAAGCATTACTCAAAGAATTACTCAAAGCATTACTTAAACCATTACTTAAAGCATTACCTAAAGCATTACTTAGTACATTACTTAAACCATTACTTAGTGCATTACTTAGTGCATTACTTAAAGCATTACTTAAACCATTACTCAAATCATTACTCAAAGCATTAGCATTACACCTGAGCAAAATGAGCAAATGAGCTTAAAGCTGAGCTTACTTAAAGTGATCACTACCATTAGCATTACTCAATGAAAAACTCGTAAAGCTCTTCATTTCATTTTCATTTCATTTCATTTTCAAAAGATTTCATTTCGGTAGATTGTAAAATTGAAGCAAATCACTGGGATTTAGCGTATTTGATTTGAAAATTCAGGCCTTATTTCAGTTGGACTGCCTCACTTGGCCACCGTTTCAATTCATCAACTTTTGGTTTCTCCCGCCAACTTTCCGAGTCGTTTACACGAATATGGTGCAATTGATGTACAACATTGTGATCTCCTACATCAAACACAACAAAGAAATCGGCTTGAAATGATTGAATTTGAAATAAAATTAGAATTTTTGTACATTTGTACAGGACGGTACTAAAATACAGTACAGGACGGTACTATTAGGTTGTCCAGTTATGAATGCGCGCCTGCTCTTGAACAGCTTACCTTAGGGCTATACAATTTTATCAAACCCTATTCTCTATATGTTGTTCAAGATTTCTTATTTATTACAACTTTTCGTGTTTTTGACGTTAAACTAATTCATTTTTGATTTAATTTCCGTGTTTAAATGGCCGAGACGAAGTTTCGTCATCGTGCCAGTCTTTGTTATGACTTCAAATTGGGCAAAAATGCCGTTGAATCCCATCGAGATCTCTGCAAAGTATTTGGCGAAGATGCTATTTCGGTCGCCGATGGTTTCAACGATTTCGAGAAGGAAATGAATCTTTGGAAGACGAAGACCACCAACGACGACCTCCTGCGATCGATAATGCACTACTGAAGCAGGCGATAGAAATAGATCCTCGACAAACGACGCATGAACTTGCAGAAATCTTTAGAGTAAGCCCTCAAACCATTTCCGAGCATTTAAATCAATTGGGGAAAACAAGCCGACAAGGGAAATGGGTCCTCATCTTCTCAGCAATGCCAATAAAGCTACTCGTGTCACTATGGCGGGTATTCTTCTTCGTTTGCCAAAAAAAATACTGGGTTTTACGATGAAATCCTTACTTGCGATGAAAAATGGATTCAATATGATAATTCTACACGAAAACGGCAAAGGCTAGAACCTGGTGTGGAGCCAATACCAACACCAAAACCCGACTTCCTTGACAAGAAAGTAATGCCTACTGTCTGGTGGAATTCCCAAGGCATTGGGCATTTTGAGCTGCTTAAACCTGGGCAAACAATCACGGGTGAAACGTATGCACAACAATTGGAACGAGTGAACAATGTATTGCTACAAAAAGGCCTTGATCCTTCAAACATAAAGTTCATTCAAGATAACGCCCCGTCCACACGTTGCAAAGATTGTTCAGGAAAAACTCGAAGAGTTGGGCTGGGAAACTCTCCCGCATCCGCCATATTCTCCGGATATTTCTCCTTCGGATTACCATTTATTTCGCTCAATGCGAAGCCACTTGGCCGGAAACAAGTTCAAAGAAGTTCAAGAGGTCGAAAAATGGATAGCCGACTTCTTTGCCTCAAAACAAGCCAATTTTTACGCGGAGGGAATTCATTCTTTGCATGGAAGATGGAAACAAATAATGTTAACAAATGGTGAATATATTGTTGATTGAGCTGTTAAACTGTTGGTTTTGAAATAAAGAGTTGTTATCTTAAAAACGCGCATTTATAACTGGACAACCTAATAAAATGAAAGATCAACTGGTCGAGGTGTTTGCAGTTCTTAACTCTTTGAATTTGTTTCAATTTCATTCACTCATCTAGCAAGGGAATGGTTCAACGTTAAGGCGACGGTTTGGGATGAGTGATACCTCATTCGATAGATCTCATCATGAATATTGATGAACAAAAAAATTAGCTGCTCAAAGTAACTCTACAACGAGAAATGAGGCTGACAAGGAGCAATGACGTTTTTGGCCGTCCTTGACGGGGCTCAAGCTTTTTACTGAATCAATGTTTTTGAATAATCTGAATAGAACTAATAGAACTTTAATAATAGAACTAATAGAACTTTAATGAAATCAAGGAAACAGTAGAGTAGTGCAACATTAGACTGGAGAAGACCACATGCGGCAGAGCGGCCTGGAATTGAAATTTGACATATCTGTTGCTCAATGCGGTACTGGTTGTAGCTTGGCTACTGCAACAGGCTACTGTAACAGCTTTTGTCAATTGTAACAGGCTACTCTAACAGCTTTTGTCTATTGTAACAGGCTACTCTAACAGCTTTTGTCAATTGTAACAGGCTACTCTAACAGCTTTTGTCTATTGTAACAAGCTACTCTAACAGCTTTTATCTATTGTAACAGGCTACTCTAACAGCTTTTGTCTATTGTAACAGGCTACTCTAACAGCTTTTGTCAATTGTAACAGGCTACTCTAACAGCTTTTGTCTATTGTAACAAGCTACTCTAACAGCTTTTATCTATTGTAACAGGCTACTCTAACAGCTTTTGTCTATTGTAACAAGCTACTCTAACAGCTTTTATCTATTGTAACAGGCTACTGTAACAGCTTTTGTCAATTGTAACAGGCTACTCTAACAGCTTTTGTCTATTGTAACAAGCTACTCTAACAGCTTTTATCTATTGTAACAGGCTACTCTAACAGCTTTTGTCTATTGTAACAGGCTACTCTAACAGCTTTTGTCAATTGTAACAGGCTACTCTAACAGCTTTTGTCTATTGTAACAGGCTACTCTAACAGCTTTTATCTATTGTAACAGGCTACTCTAACAGCTTTTGTCTACTGTAACATGCTATTGTAACAGCTTTTGTCTACTGTAACAGCTTTTGTCTTATCGGAAAAGAGGAGATCGTCGAACCGAATGGAAATGTCGATAGATGAATGAATGAAGATAATAGGCAACAATTGAGGTCATTTCTTTGATTATGCTATTTTTTCCATACAAATTTAACTTACAAATACAAATTTCAGCTAGCACTTTTTGTTTAAAGTCCTACTTTCTATTTTTTATTGTTTTTTTTTATGATTCAACTTTGTTGCAATGTCACCCAAATGCTAATCAATCGCTTCAATCTCGAAACAGCTCACATTTATGTTTTGTGCTGTTTCTGCTCTGAATCACTGGTCAATAATATTCAAATTCTAAGTTCATTTTTCAGGGAAAAGGGCTATAAATGACCCTTGTAACAGTTGCAATGTGCAGAAATGTTCTTTTTGTTATGCGCTTTTTCTTGTCACATTTAAACAGCCAACATTCACGGCTTTTAGAATTGAATTATTTTATAATCTTTATTTTATATCTATGATGTTCTTTTCTATCAGCTAGCAAAGAAAGAGATAAGCACTTTTCATATTTCGAGCCACTGTCATTAGATTTATTGTGTATTGAATAAAGCTATTGAATAAAGTATTGAATAAAGCTCTTCATAACAATATTGTTATTTTCTTTCGTCGTGCACAGTCCAGGAAACGAACCAGGAGCAAGCGAGCTATCAACCAACTGCGCAATGTTTTCGACATTAAAACTTCTAATTTTCAAAGGCTATAATCCTCTAGATCAGATCAGACCTCTAGATCAGATCAGACCTCTAGATCAGATCAGACCTCTAGATCAGATCAGACCTCTAGATCAGATCAGACCTCTAGATCAGATCAGACCTCTAGATCAGATCAGACCTCTAGATCAGATCAGACCTCTAGATCAGATCAGACCTCTAGATCAGATCAGACCTCTAGATCAGATCAAAAGTTCGCCTGTTTTGCCTTTATAAGTGAATTGGGCTAATCTAGTTCACAAAAAGTCCGTGGGTTAGCCAGAAGCTAGTCAAGCTAGTCAAGTCAAGAGTCTGGATATAACCGAATCAGATTCCAATGACAATTTCTCAGAGCTGAGCCTTGTTTCACCACTACTTACGAAACTGTCATAACTCCTTATGACACCATTTCATCACCACTTACGACACCTCTCAATGTAAACCCTTACAACGCCTCAAGGGCTACTCTTAGCAGGTAACGTAACGGGAAAACGATAGTATTTTAAGCTAGAAGAAAAATCAAGCAAAACTAATTTGATTTTCGTAAGCTGTAATGTCATGATTTGGAAGTTGCAAGTCACGTAGTTGCAAGCCGTTGGTTTGTAAGTTGCAAGCCGTTGATTTGTAAGTTGCAAGCCATAGTTCGCAAATCGGTGTTGGACCCGGGTCCTGGCTTGGCTCGGCTTACAGCTTCTACTCTCGATTGGAAAAACCCTAAACCGGATAGTAAATATCAACAGTTAGATTATCAATTTTTCAAATTAAATTGTTTGCATAAATAAACACGTTTTATCGTTCAACTTTAAACTTTTCATAAAGAAAACTTTTCTTTTCCTTTTCCAATCTTTCCCAACTCGACCCTTTCAAAAGTTTACCCATTTAGCTCTTTTATTCCCTCAATCAACCCACTATTTATTTCATTTACCAAAGAAAAAAAACAATAATAGAAAAATGAAACTTTACGAAATATTTGTATAGTTTATAGCCATTATAAATCTCTTTCGATCAATGTTTACTCACATTTTTATGGTCGAATCGACTTGAATCAATAAAACTATAAAAAAATCTTTGATTATCGACTTCAATTTGAATCAAAAGAATGCAAACCTTATGTTTAGATACGTCAATGCCCAGAAAAAGAAATAGCTCTGAAATTGAGCTCAATGGCGGCCAAAAAGAGGGCAAAAAGTGGCAAAAAGTTGTTCCAATGAACTCTGATGTCAGTTGGTTGTTCACAAGGTGAAATCCCGAAAATCTTCAGCTCCCATAGGATTCACAATGTTTCAATTTTCATATTAGAACTAATTACTTGTTTTGAGTCATCTTTTGATGACAAATTGTCTTTATAAGTCTTACTTACTTAATTACTTGCTTACTTGCTTACTTGCTTACTTACTTACTTACTGTCTTACTTACTTACTTACTTGCTTACTTGCTTACTTGCTTACTTGCTTACTTGCTTACTTATTTACTTACTTACTGTCTTATTTGCTTGCTTGCTTACTTGCTTACTTATTTATTTAATTACTTACTTACTTACTTACTTATTTACTTATTTACTTACTTACTTACTTACTTTGCATCTCAAACCTTGTTTTTGAGATGATTTGATTTTCATTTTTTCTTTTTTCATCATTAGATTGTGGTTTATGTTTGCTTGATCTAAAGCTAGCGAAGATTTTCGAAATAGAGTCGTTTTATGTACAATCGCTTTATGTATGATCGCTTTTTCGGCAGAGAGAGCAGTTTCGAAACACTTTTCCTATATAATCATCGACTCTTTGCAATCTGAACGAATCCTCTGTACAAGGCTTGGATAAAGTTTTTCTCATATCAAAAACTTTTAATTTTTAACAGTAAAAGTTAAGATAAGAGCATTGTTTTATTTTCGTGGAATTGAAAACTAAATTGTGACTGCTTTGCGGTCAATTTTTGGCTTCAAGCTTCAAGCAAACGATCAAAGTGTCTGTCTGCCTGTCTGCGCATTTTCTCAGCCGTGTTTTGACCAATAAAGACAAACTTCTTTAGAAAACCTTAGAATATATTGTAGTTGTGTCAATTAAAATTAAAAATTAGAAAGTGGAGATGGCATGGCACTACGGAGGGTCGAACCCGCGGGCCGTAGACGTGTAATGCGGACCGTCTAACGTGTAGTGCAGGCCGTAGACGTGTAGTGCGGGCCGTAGACGTGTAGTGCGGGTCGTAGACATGTAGTGCGGGTCGTAGACATGTAGTGCGGGTCGTAGACATGTAGTGCGGGTCGTAGACATGTAGTGCGGGTCGTAGACATGTAGTGCGGGTCGTAGACATGTAGTGCGGGCCGTAGACGTGTAGTGCGGGCCGTAGACATGTAGTGCGGGTCGTAGACATGTAGTGCGGGTCGTAGACATGTAGTGCGGGTCGTAGACATGTAGTGCGGGTCGTAGACATGTAGTGCGGGTCGTAGACATGTAGTGCGGGCCGTAGACGTGTAGTGCGGGCCGTAGACGTGTAGTGCGGGCCGTAGACATGTAGTGCGGGTCGTAGACATGTAGTGCGGGTCGTAGACATGTAGTGCGGGTCGTAGACATGTAGTGCGGGCCGTAGACGTGTAGTGCGGGTCGTAGACGAGCGCGCTCCTGACTGCGCCACCGGGACAATGTGCTCCCAAAAGATCCAGCTAGAAAAGCCCATTTTTCGTTTTTTCTTTGTTCTTCTGGTACGGTAATAGCGATAGATACTAGAACATTCCGTTTATTTACGATTTCTATTTGGCACTAACTTGACTGATAAGCAAAACACCCGGCTTGCGTTTAAATGTGACTAATGTGACTAGCAATTGATCAAAGAACGGTTATAATAGTTTAAACTTTCAAACGACTATAGTAGTTTTTTATTTCGTATGTTTTCAGAATCATTTCAAACCTTTCATTACCATTTGTTTCATTGAGCTTTGTTCCGTCACAATCCAAGAGCTGGACATCCGACCGTAGTCTCTAGCCGAAATCTTCTCTCGGTTTCTCAGAAATCCTTGATCCTTTCCCCCTCACTCCCTCACCCAGACACCCCACTCTCCACATCTCAAAAAGAGCAAAAGAAAGCTAAAAGAGACGATTTCCCACCCCGCTCAAATAATAGGGCATAACACTTGGCTGTGGTTACTCGCATCTTATAGATTTGTTTTGTTTATCCAAAATCTGGTTCAGCTTTGAGAATGTTTGGAAAAATTTCTTTAGATCCGTTTTGACTTGAGCTCTCGAGCTCTTGAGCTTTCAAAAATCAAATTTACTCAAGAACTTAAGTCTTTTAAAAACAACTTTAATCTTCACATTTATTGATTGTTTGATTGATTGATTGGTTTTGAATTTATGTCACATCTCTGGTTTAAATTCTCATAGAATTGGCATGGCTTTGTTCTCTTGACTTAGAGTTTTACAGATTTGAGTAAAATAGCAGATAGGTAAACTTGTCTAAATCTGTTAGCAAGCTTTACAGGAGCAAGCTTTACAGGAGCAAGCTTTACAGGAGCAAGCTTTACAGGAGCAAGCTTTACAGGAGCAAGCTTTACAGGAGCAAGCTTTACAGGAGCAAGCTTTACAGGAGCAAGCTTTACAGGAGCAAGCTTTACAGGAGCAAGCTTTACAGGAGCAAGCTTTACAGGAGCAAGCTTTACAGGAGCAAGCTTTACAGGAGCAAGCTTTACAGGAGCAAGCTTTACAGGAGCAAGCTTTACAGGAGCAAGCTTTACAGGAGCAAGCTTTACAGGAGCAAGCTTTACAGGAGCAAGCTTTACAGGAGCAAGCTTTACAGGAGCAAGCTTTACAGGAGCAAGCTTTACAGGAGCAAGCTTTACAGGAGCAAGCTTTACAGGAGCAAGCTTTACAGGAGCAAGCTTTACAGGAGCAAGCTTTACAGGAGCAAGCTTTACAGGAGCAAGCTTTACAGGAGCAAGCTTTACAGGAGCAAGCTTTACAGGAGCAAGCTTTACAGGAGCAAGCTTTACAGGAGCAAGCTTTACAGGAGCAAGCTTTACAGGAGCAAGCTTTACAGGAGCAAGCTTTACAGGAGCAAGCTTTACAGGAGCAAGCTTTACAGGAGCAAGCTTTACAGGAGCAAGCTTTGCAGGAGCAAGCTTTGCAGGAGCAAGCTTTGCAGGAGCAAGCTTTGCAGGAGCAAGCTTTGCAGGAGTTAATCGAAAAATTTGATTAATCTTAGGATTACCATAATGAACAGATAGAAAGAATAAATTCGATTTTATCTATATTTTATATTATATATCTTAACTTTTAGCACTACTCAATCAATCAATCACTGGCTTAGTGACATTTTACTACAATGTGTTTACTATGACAGCACTTTTCCATTCCCATTTTCGAAACCTTTCCCTCGAAATGATCGGGTATAAAAAGTCTCTCATCCTCTCACAATTTTTGTTGATTTTTCCACCCCGTCCATCTCGATTCGCCCTTTCGAAAAAATAGAAAAAAAAACAAAAGAGCAAACTCGATGCCGACACGCACAGAGACACCGAAAAATAGCCGCGAAAAAAAAATGGTGAATCGATTGTCGAGTTGGTCAAATACTGTCATCAAAAGTTGTGCAATGTGGGATAAACTAGTAAAATCAGTATTTGGGCTACAATTTTTTATCTTCATGTTTGGAATTTTTTTAGGAATTCATTTTGATTCCTTTTGAAGGCCGGTTTTAAGGGACTAGCGGTGCAGCGCGCTTTCTAAAGTGTGGATGCGCTACCGTACTCCGCTCAAAATCCCTCTTTTGCCATTCTTTTCATTTTCCTTCATTCATGATGGAAACCTTGTGGCTTTTGTGCCTTTTATGCTGAGTCCCGTTAAGTTTTCTTCCCCTTCCTAAAATCTATGATGTTTTTGTAGCGCCTTTTTAAAGTACTCTCTCCCCTCATTCGTTCCCTCCTTTTTATATTGTTTACCCATAGTTTGTTGTTTAAAATTCTAATACGGTTTTATTTCGTTTTCTTCTCGTTTTCCTTTTACTCCACCGTTTTGAATTCGTTCACACAGACCGTATAAACTCAACTTGACCAATTCCTTTTCACCAAAACTCAAATCTGATCTTTGAGCTTATCTGTTTTGACAATTTCCTTTGGAATCTGCGCGATTTTCTTGTTACTTCGTCTTGGGTTTCGTGTCAAATCATTTTAGAAAAGGGTTGATAAGTCTAAAGGTGTTAGATAAGGGAGTTAGTTACTAACTATTCGATTTAATTGACACCTAGACTTCTTAAGATTATAAGATTGTACTCATTTTGCCCAAGATCAAGGTTTCTTTAACTTTGAGCTTATTTCTTTTGACAATTTCCTTTGGAATACCTGCTTTTTGTCGTTTTTGCTTATTTAAATTCTGTATTCATTCTAGATAATGTTCTTGCATTTTCAGATCATGGGTAGAGCCGAAAGGGTTCCACTAAAAAGTGAAGAGCCGCCACCTGGGGATGGAAAAATCTACGATGGAGTCAGATTGAAGCCGAATCCGGCAAAGACAGCCAATGTATTCTCGAGGATATTTTTCTGGTTTCTTTTTTAATTTTTTCAAACAGAATCCGAAAGTGATATAATAACGGAACTTGATAAAAATGACAAGAGAAATTTACAATTCATTCATAAAACTTCTTAATAGGGTAGCAACTTAATTATCAGATCGATCTGATTTTAATTAACTTCCAAACTATCCTGAGCAGCTTTTCAACAATTTAAACCTTTAGGTATATGGGTCCACTCTTTCTACGCGGTTTTCGTCACAATCTTGAGTCATCCGACATGTTTGAGCCATTGCCCGATCAGGAGAGTAAAGCCGCCACGGAGCAATTGAGAACGTGAGTACTAGACTGAGTACGATGTCTTGGGGTCCTACTTTCGATTCTCGTTTTCTAAAAAACCAATTAAGCAATTGACACACGGTATAATATTTTCTCAGAAAAATATATTTGTTTTACTCACTTTTTTTCAAAACTGCAAAAAGAAACCTTTTTCTCGAGCAGTTCCTAGGGTATGAAGTCTGAAAGCCAAAAATACGAACTTTGATTTGAGCACTTTCTTTCACAAAAACGTTTTTAGTGTCAAAAGACAAAAAATAGATAAGAAAAGGTTAGAAATGTTTTCAAATTTTCAGCTTAATCCCTTTTCTCTGTAGGCTTATTCAAAGGTTCTTGAGAAAAACGAGATTTTATGGTCAGATTCTATACAAACTAAGCCCAACACCGTCTAAAAAGAGCCTAAAACAAATGATAAATCTTTTCTTGATATCTCGATAAACAAACCGTCGGCCAATTGTTTGATTCTCAAATTATAAAACGAAAATCGAAAGTAAGACCCCAAAACATAGTACTCAGCCTAATAGAATGCATTCAGATTCAGTAAGTGCGTAATTCATGCAAAACTTACCGTACTTTATCTTTGCTAAATCTTCATTTAAATGCATTCAGGGCCTGGCAAAACGAGCAAAAAGAAGCAAAAGAGAAAGAACGAGAGGCGTCACTGATGCGCGCAATCTTTAAAGCATATGGAAGAGAGTTGACCATTTATGGGGTTTGGCTGTTTCTTGAAGAGGCCATCAAATTGTCCCAACCGCTCTTCATGGGAAGATTGATCCGATATTTTCGATTTGACACTCCTTTAACACAGGTTTGTGGATTTTATGAATGAAAATTTATTCTAAATGCAAACTTACTAAATGATAAATGTAAAAGCTACCTGAAAAATGATAAAAATAACCAAAAACGTTCAGCAAGACGCTTTTCTATCAGCTGCCGGAGTTGCCATTACGGGTTTCATTGTCGTGACAATTCATCATCCATATTTCTACGGATTGCAAAGGATTGGCTTGAAGATCAAGATTGCCGCTTCTGGGCTTTTGTCGGAGAAAGTGAGTTAGAGCTTTTTATTGGAGTTGGGCAAACGCCGTCTTTAAAGTTTTTTAATAGCCACACTTCAGAAAATAGACTGATCGCTTGGATCAGTTTGGAGTGATTTGAATCACCAACTGGCCAGAGTAATGTGTTAGGCTCTCCAGAAAGTCTTTTCGTTCTTTTTCGTACTTTAAACTTTTCCTAATTTTCGTACGGTTTAAAACCAACATATGCACCGATTAAACTACGGTTTGTTTCATTAGAAAGGCTAATTATTTTTCTATAAAATAACATTGAAACGGGTTTAAAATGTCTTATGTCTGGGTTTTTTGGAACGTGAAGTCGGGCAGTCAAAAAGGGCGACGGCGATGCTAAGACACTTTAGCTAAGGAAACCTATCTTCGTGTCAATAGATAAAAGATAGAGCACAAAGAGTTTTGTATATAGCCAAATTTTCAGAGAAATTCATTCAGCCAATTTCTTCGTAGAGGTTTTTATAGATTTTTGTGAAAAACACGTGTTTTCACTCTCGAATTTGCTTGAAAGTGAATCAAAATTGACTTAAAAATATGGAAATTGAACAATAAACACTTTTGATTTAGAGCAAACCATAGGTTAATTGGGGAATTTGTTAATTTTTAACGAAAGTACGAAAAGGAACAAAAAGACTTTCTGGACAGCCTAAGATCAATACTCAAACCAGGGTTTCAGTTGTGTTCTCAAAAGCCTCATAATATCTTACCAAACTTACCCAGTTATTGAAAACTAAAATGTCATTTTAGGGTTTCGGTTTGAGCAGTGCGGCTCTCCGTGACACCTCAGTCGGTCATCTCGTCAATTTGCTCTCCACCGATGTCATGAAATTTGACATGGCTTTTGTCTTCTTTCACTATTTATGGGTAACTTCACCAAAAATTTATAAAATCATTTGAAAACCTAGGTTTCCCCACTACTTTTGATCGGCTACGGGTGCGCGATTTGGTCACAAATTGGAGTGATTTGTCTTGCCGGATTTGGAGCCTATTTTTTGCTGTTCCCAATTCAAAAGTACATCTCAACAAAGATGGGCATCTACCGGTAAAATTATATTATATTCAAATTACAAGTAGTACTTAGCATTTTACAGTAGTTTTTCTTTTATCACTCAAAATAATATGAGGTGAAATGACAGCCGAGAAGAAAAATGTCTGATAAGGGGTCAGAGCACGTGTTTTTTAGGCGATCCGTGGCGATGAGGACCGATAAGAGAATTTCGCTGATGAACGAGATTTTGAACGGGATTCGTTTGATCAAAATGTACTCCTGGGAGGATGCGTTTGCTGACATTGTGAAGGAGTTGAGGACGTGAGTTTCTTTAGATAAGCTTTGTTGGCAAAAAGGAACCATAGAAATTATTAGGTTGAGCACTAGGTGTTGGTCAGCTTCATTGGCCGTTTTAAAAACGGTGAATCCGCCAAAATACAAACGTTTTGTTTTATTGAAAAGCATTCTACAAAATGCTTCTCCAGTGTTTTAAAAAGCGTTTGTTTTGAGGGATTTCAAGAGGCAAGAGGGCGGGTTGTCAAAATTAACAGAGACCCGGTTATGCCATTTCTTCTACAGAAAACTATTTTGAGCACTAGGTGTTGGTATACTAGCTTCATTGGCCTTCATAGAAAAAAAAGATAAGAAGTTAGGAGTATAGCCAAATTTTTAGAAAAATTTGTCGCACCGTTTCCTTTATCTTTCTCTTCTAAAAATTTGAGAGAAATGAGGATTTACTTGCGAATTTGCATAATATTAGGCCAAAATTTGTTTTAAAATACTTAAAACTAAACACTTAACACTTTATTTTTAGGGATCCAACGTTTGTTTGGAGAAAGCTCGCTAATAAAAAATAATAAACAGAGGATATCAACACATAGTACTCAACCTAATAGTTTTTTCATATGGCAAACTTTTGATACTAGAACAACCTTACTTATTAGACTAGAAAACTATCAAGTTACACCGTTTTAGAAAAGAAATGGATATGATTCGAAAACAAGCCTCTTGCCAATCACTTCTCATGGGTCTCTTTTGGCCAAGCGGGAAAATGGTCGTGCTCTTCGTCGCCCTTGCCTATTACCTCCAAGGAGAACTTTTGCTAGCTGAGCCGATCTTTGTGGCGGTGAGTTTAGCAAAGCGAAGGCATGCTAAATTTTGAATAGAATAAGTTTAAGCCAACATTTTTCATTCCAGAGTGCTCTTTTCAACTCTTGCCGCCTTCCCGTTATGCTCTTTTTGCCAATCGGTATCGCAATGTTCCAGGAAGCAAGGGTTTCAGCGAAAAGGATTCAAGTGAGTTAAAATATTAACTTATATGGGAAAACTACGTAGTGGATGAATAGTAACACGAGTGCAATGACTATCAATCTTGATATATTCCAGACATTCTTGGACCTTGACGACTTCAACGCAATTGAAGCACCAAAAGAGGAACGAGTTGAGAAAGACGATGGAGTTCATTATGAGTTGACTCTGAATGGAACTTCTGAAAAAAAGCCACTTATTGATAACGTAAGTTTTCTGTATTAAAGAACTAAAGTTGAGTGAATTTTAGGGAAACGGTTTTTCCACTATGGATTCGTGGTGTCATCTGGAGCCGGAGAGTTCGAAAGACGCGAAAGTCATATTGGAGAACTTCTCGGCGACATGGGAAAGCCCGAGTGTGAGTAGCAAATGTGTTTAGCAATTCAATGAATCAATTACATTTTCAAACTTTTATCGATTTTGAAAGACTAAGAATAAAACCGAAAAAATTCTGATTTTAAGTAAAATAAACAACGCATTTGCTCTAAATCGACCATCTTACCTGTAGAAACTTTGAAAGTTGAAGTCCGGGACACCTTTAAATAGGATACTGATCTAATTTCAATCATTTTCAGGAATGGGAGAAGAAAATAGCAAATCCCGAAGCCCCAATGCAAGCGCAAGCAATAAAGGACATCTCCGTCACAGTTACAAAAGGAAAGCTCGTCGGTGTGATTGGTCCTGTTGGAGCTGGAAAGTCCTCTCTCCTGGCCTCAGTGTTGAGAGAAACAACTCGTACAGCTGGAAAGGTAAAAGAAAATTCAATAATTTTCAAGCAAAATTTTTAGTTAACCGTTCACGGAAAAGTTGCCTATTGCTCACAAGATGCGTGGATATTTGGAGGAACGATTCGAGACAATGTTCTGTTCGGAAAAGCATACAATGCTGAGCTTTATGAGGAAGTTATCGAGATGTCAGCGTTGAAACAAGTGAGTCAAGGAATTGATGATCAATCAAAAGAAATTAGGATCTTGCTGAGATTCAAAACGGTGATCAAAATATTGTCGGTGATCGAGGATTGGCGTTGAGTGGAGGGCAGAGAGCACGATTGGCACTGGCGAGAGCGCTTTATAGTCAAGTGGGTTTATAGTTGGGTACTTCTGTATACACGGTGGCCCATAATATGTGTTACGCCTTATATAAAAACAGATTAAGTCGAGAATGTGTCAGATTACTTCAAGTTTGTTATTTTTCATTTCCTATAACATTTTTACACTTATATTCCAATTTTTGGCCCGATCGGTCGACTATAAGAAAAATTAAGATCATTAGAAGCTCCGTAAATAAAAGCGTCCGGCACGATTTATATTGTCTTAGGAAATCGTGCCTAAAATGCTTCACATCTCGAAACTCTTCCTCATCCTCTAATCTAACAGATTTTCGACCTTTCTTTTCGGCCTTCATATAAGACATAACACATATTATGGGCCAGCCTGCATTTCCTGTAGTTTTTGATACTTTTGATCTATTATTCAATTACGTTTTAACTTCCAGGCTGACATTTACCTCCTGGATGACCCACTCTCCGCTGTCGATGCAGCTGTTGGACGCTTCATCTTTGACAAGTTTGTACAATAGAAATTTAAGATAAATGGGCATTTTTAGATGTATCCGACAATACTTGAAAGAGAAAGTCGTCATCCTTGTCACTCACCAATTGCAATTTGTCGGGAAAGCCGATGAGATTGTTTTGATGAAGGATGGAGCCGTTGCTGTACAAGGGACACCGAAAGAATTGAGGGAATCGAACTCGAAAATTGTGTTGCAATTGATGCATGTAAGTGATTTAAGAATTTAGCAAGATTTTCTGACGTAACAAAGCAAAATTTTGGGTTCTTCTTGGAAATTGGATTAAAGGGATGTATAACTTTAGCAAAAATACAGCTAATTTAAGGCGACAATTGTTCCCAAGGGTTTGGGTATAATTACGCCCAAGAGGCGGGAAAGTTTAGTTGCTCACCGTTCCTTCCCCTTTACGGATTCCAAAAGGGAAGCTCCCTATATCGGACGGGTTTATCAGGTCGCGAGTGATTGCGCGAGCACAAAGAACACTTCGCCAATCACTTTACACAGTGATTTCTCTTTTGTTCTGTAAATGATTCCCAAGTGAGATTTAGTGCTAAGAATTTGTGCCCCGAGGTTTTCAGGGTCGTAGAACCAATTGGTGGAGCTTATTTTAACCATTTGTTCCTGGAAAAGTCCCAAGAGAATTGAATTGGCTTTGATATCGATATGATAGCTTTCACAATGAAAAACCCATATTTTGTCAAAAGATCCCGATTTCCTAGATCCTAATCAAAAGAATCAAATAATAAAAAATTTAGGAAACCGCTCGAACCTATGGCGTTCGACGATCGGTCAGTGTGAGCAGTGGACACTCAAATGAGCCCGAAGAGTTTGACGAAGAAGAAGTTTTCGATGAGAATTTTGGTAAGATTTTTTAAAACAGAACTTATCCTTGGCCATTGTAAACAATACTAAACGAATTTTAGGTCCAAAACTGGAAGAAATTCAAGGAACGAGTGAACCATCTGGACAAATAGAAGAGGATCGAGCTGAAGGAGCTGTGCCATGGTATGGATTTGGCACTGATTAGCACAAGAACCAGATTAGCTTTTTAAAGAGTTAATATGGGTAAAAAGTTTTAAGAACATCAGGAACTTTAGAAAATCGGAAATTTTGAAGCAGAAGCAATTTTGCTAAACGCTAAATGTAGAAGTAATTTTGCTAAATTTGGCAAATGTGCTTTTGTCCACTAGTTGCTGTTTTTTTGGCGGCAACCTATTTTTCTGATGACGCGAATCGGTCTCTCGACCTCGAAATGGGTTACCGCTGAATTTTCAGAAAGATTAGAGTAAAAAAAATGTGCAAAGTTCCATGAGGTTTTTTAAAAAACTTCAAAATTAGCCGAATTTCCTGTACTTTTTCAATCAGAATCAAACTCCTAATGTTTAGGTCAGTCTATTGGCGCTACATCACCGCAATGGGCACTTGTCAAATCATCCCTGCTCTTCTTTTCACATTTTTTGTTCAAATTCTATTCAATTTCACCGATTTTTGGCTGAATCTTTGGACAACAGCGTCGGAGAAAGTAATGAAGTTAACGAATATTACAGCTGTGGAAGAGATTCCAGATTTCAAGGTAAGAAGAGAACAGTTTTAAAAATTCAACGAATAGTTAAGAAAATCTGTTATCTTCTAGGATAATATCAACTTCTTTGGTCACCATATTTCCTTGAGTCTTGATGGGTACATGTGGATTTTCGCGGTCACCTCAACAATTGTTGTTATCAGCTCTGTGCTCAGGTTTGAATTTCGAATGCTCTGAAAACAGCTCGAGATAGAAAACGCAAATTTTCGTAAATCAGAAGCAACAACAAAATAATGAATCCGTGTGAGACTAGGGTAGAAAAAATATTTATTGGACGAGATTGAGCGGGATTGAGCCCTTCACCTCCCGATTAAGATACAGGGCTCTTAGCCAGTCGGGCATGGCTTAGAAATGTAAAAAAGATTTAATCATAATTTTATAATCAAAATTCAGATGTGTTTGGGTTCGTTTGCTTGAAACGGTCGCCTCGGAGACTCTTCACAAGGAAATGTTCCACGCTGTTGTAAACACAGAGACCGAGTTCTATGACACAAATCCGATTGGACGAGTAAGTTGAAGAATTTTATTGAAAAAATTGTTTTACAAGATTGGACTCTTGCATAGTTTCCGGATATTTTGAAAGAATCCAGTATTTTGGAAGTATTGAATTTTGCACGGGTCGTCACGCTTTGAAGGCCTATAACTTTATGCAGAGATGATATTTTTATCAACTTTTTTATATCATTGTACAGTGGACATTTCAGGCTTTCAAATGATACCAAATAAAGCTTTATTGAATAATCCAGCCCAAGAAAATCAGAGCCAACTCTGAGCAAATGATGCCTATCCAACTTGGGTGTTGTGTTCCTTGGTTTGCATGGGAATTCAGAAAAATTTAGTCAAGCTTTATTTGGTATCATTTGAAAGCCTGAAGTGTCCTATGTACAATTATATAAAGAGTTCACAAAAATATCATGTGTCTGGATAAAGTTATAGGCCTTCAAAGCGTGACGACCCGTTCAAAATACACGGAAACTACGCAAGAGCCCAAGATTGCTAAAATTTCTAGATTACCAAAAAGTATACGATTATAGAAAGCAATGTTCAGGTACTCAATCGCTTTTCTAAAGATATTCACACAATGGATGAACCGTTGGCCTTTGTGTTCTTTGAATTCATCTTGGTTAGTTTAAATTCGATAAATTAGAATATTTTGAGAATTTCAATTTCAGGGCGTCCTTGCAATCATTGGCTCAGTTGCGATGATCTTTTTCGTGAATCCATGGATCTTCCTTATCTGCATTCCACTGTGTTTGCTCTTTTGGGTTGTTCGAGCGCTCTATTTGGCCACGTCAAGAGATGTGAAGCGATTGGAGGCAATCAGTGAGTTTTCTAAAGATAATTTCTCACTGTGAGGGTCGTAGAACTTATCTATGTTAGCTTAATTGAATTAAAATTTCCAGCCCGATCCCCTCTCTACACTCACATCTCATCAGTGATGCAGGGTTTGATGACCGTGCGTGCTTTCGGTAAACATCAAAAGTCATTCACGATTATCATGGAAAGGTAGGGGAGAACTTTTAGCTTAACTTATTACAATCAACTTTAGATGAACATCAACTCAGCTGCTTTCATTCTCACATTAACCACTTCTCGTTGGTTCGCTGTACAAATCGATCTAATCGTCACACTTTTTGTCTCATTTGTCGCCTTTGCTTGCGTCTTGTCACCAAGTGAGTTATATTCCCAAATTCGTTTTAGAAAACGTGACAGAATCTACTCCGTAGATTCAAATGCCACATCGTTAAAAAACTATCTGCTTTTAGTGGTCTTTTCTTCTGGAGAAGTGGCGCTGATGTTGGTTTACGCGATTCAATTAACCGGTTTCTTCTCATGGATCATGCGACAATCGGCTGAGCTTCAGAATGGGGTAAGAACTGTTTGATGACAATAGAACACTTGGATATTGTTTAATTGTTAATAAATTATAGTCCAAAGTTTGGCTTTATCGCTGTGTTTCAGATGGTCTCCGTTGAGCGCATCGTGAACTTCTGCGGTTTACCAAACGAGCACGCCGAAGAGGGATTGACAAAGGTTTGGACAAAGGAAATGGTTAATCAAGCTAAAAATTCAGATCCCAGCTCATTGGCCAAGCCAGGGTGAGATCAAATTTGACAATTTCTCCCTCCAATATCGAGATGTGAATCAATTTGCTTTGCAAGAGATCTCCGTGCAAATTGCGAGTCATCAAAAGATTGGAGTCGTTGGGAGGACTGGGGCTGGGAAGTCCTCACTTTTGAGAGCTCTCTTCAGAATGAACAAGAAATCAACAGGTTAGCTGAAGAATACCGATTGGAACAATATACCGTAAAGACTCTAATAGAACGGTATCCTATAGGAGCTTCGCGTAGTCTAAGTTTACTCTCAAAAAAACGCTCATGTCTCGACACAACGTTAAAAAAAGAGCCGATTTTCAATAATTTTTTCTAAACGCTGTTAAAAGTTAAAAATATGTGTTATATCTCGAAAAATCACCCATCCTCTCTACTTTAATTTGATGCTTAAGCGCACAGAAACAAATGTCTGGGCGCCGAGATATGCGCGTTTGTTTGAGAGTAAGCTTAGACTACGCGACGCTCCTATAGGGGGCCATTCTATTGGAGTTTTTATGGTAATTTGAACAATGAAAGGAGTTGGTTTACTTTTGCAATAATTATCTTTAAAATAACGGTTCCAACCAGATGGTCTGAAAAAAAATGAAGTTCATGGACAGTTCAAAACTTTTTATGTGCAAGTTAGACAAAATAATCTGACAAAGAAATGAGTCTTGAGCTTAATTGGATATTGAAATTGTTTGTAGAAGTAATCAACGGATAAATTCAGGAAAAATCTACATTGATGGAGTTGACATTGCGAGCATTCCTTTGAGAGATCTCCGAGCTCATTTGGCCATCATCCCACAGGTGAAATCATAGAGTTTCTGTATTTGATAGTTTAATTTTATTATAGGAACCAGTCCTTTTCGTGGGAACACTTCGTCGAAACCTCGACCCATTCAATGAGCATTCGGATGAGGATTTGTGGACAGCTCTCGAACAAGTCGAACTGAAAGATGCGGTTGCTGAATTAAACGGAAAATTGCAAGCAGAGATGAATGAAGGAGGAGCCAATTTCTCGGTAATTTTCCATTTTTTTGACTGAAAGCCGAATCGATTTCAGGTTGGTCAACGCCAACTCGTTTGCTTGGCTCGAGCCTTGTTAAGGAATTCAAAGATTTTGGTGATTGATGAAGCGACGGCCAATGTTGATTTACAGTGAGTTTTTAGATAATTAATTGAGTCAATTTAAACTATAATGCGGTACAACAACTTCAGGACTGATGCTCTGATCCAAAAGACGATTCGCAAGAGGTTTGCCGAGAGCACCGTGTTAACAATTGCTCATCGCTTGCATACGATTATGGACTCGGATCGAGTCATGGTGAGTTTTTGGCTGCATTAGAGATAATTGTTTATTGTAACGAATAGATGTTTAATGTTTATTGTAATAGTCTCAATAAAGGCAGTAAGCTTTGAGAAACGCAAGCTGCAAAATTGGTGTATTAATTTAAAAAGTAGTAAAAGAATGATTAAAATTAATATGAATTTACAGCTTCGCTAGCCTACACTTCTAAAACTAGGAGATGTAAAAGAATTGAAACTGTCTAATAACTTAAGAGTTAAAAGATAATTATTGCTTACCTAAAAGTGTTGTCCTAGCCTAGAATTTCTAAATTGTTTTCCATTGTTTCCAAGATTTACAGGGTTAAATGTTATATAAGATATTGTAGCCCTTAATTTTGGCTAAATTTGTCTCTCAAAAGTTTCCCGATTGGAGATGCACAGCTCATTTTACAAGCCCTTGAATGAGTACTAGTTGATCCCTCTTCAGCAAGCTGCCATTCTTGGCGATTTTCGATTGTAAAATGAGTTGTATATCTCCAATCAGAAGGCTTTTAATAGATAAATGTAGCCAAGATTAAGCGCTTCAATATTTTATATAACATTTAACACACTAGGGTTGAACTTGGCGCTTAGGAGCTAATCTATCAAAAAGACGTCGTAGAAAATAATGAACGCCTTGTAGTTTCACTTGAGCCAAGCTTTTGGCACAGCTTTTGGTGCACTAAACTCTTGATTATACTCAAAACAACAAGTCTGTTGTTGAATGTGAAATGAGATTGGTGAGCGTAGAGTTGATAAGCATTACTGTAGCCCTCCCAGAAACAGATTTCATGTTTGCTTTAAAGCACTACCACTTTCAGGTGCTCCAAGACGGTCGTGTTGTCGAATTCGACCATCCCTATCTTCTCCTAAGCAATCCGGAGTCAACTTTCTCAGCGCTAGCAAATGAAACCGGTCGAGATACGGCCGCTCAACTGCTCTCCGTCGCTAAAGCCACTTATGAGGCCCAAAATTGATTTTTTTTTATCAATTCCCTTTGCTCAACAACTTCTAGGTTTTCAAAATCACCCCATTTTTTTGCAATAGCTGCGATCTGTTATCAGTCTGTGGTTCTACTTAGCCCGAAAAGATCTCCGATATGCACCAACCCCCAAGAAATTTCCCGGTTAGCCCATTCCCAGTATTCGATTCACAATACGGTGCTTTGTATCTGGTTTTTTGTGTTGTTGCTGTTGTTTTTCAAACTGGTTAACATCAAAAAGTCTCACTTGGTTTTAACTAGAAGATCTTGATTTTCTTACTTTGGTCAGATTAGTTCTTTTCGATTTTGATTCCATTCAATCAATAGTTTAATCCTAACTAACTAAATCCGATAAAATTTAAAGAAACGATTAAGGTAACTTTTCAAATTGTCCACATTTCAAAGCGCTTACATGATCCCGCATTATTCAGAACAAATTCTAGACGTTGGTATCAAGAATGAGATCAATTTTGTCACGGTAATACTTTAAGCTATCTAATCTGATGGAGAAAGTAAGCCTAGTTATTAAAAAAAATTTTTGATTCAGAATTTTTCCTTGATAGTCATTTGCTACCATAATATTTTTACTTTGTTCGTTTCTCATGCACTTTTCACCTTATACCAATTGTGCAATATCGATTGCATAATAAATCTTTTGAGTTGTGATTTTTGATTCTTATAATAAATAAACTTTTTATATATCCATTGCAATCACAAAAATAGTTATGATTTTAGTCCCTGAATCAATTTTTCTACTTTGGTTGAATCGTTTTTGGGAAATGTACACTGAGGCTTCATTGAGATTGATCTGAATATGATTGTTGGAATGACCCAAATTTGATTACTCACCTTTTTTCATCGCAAAATCGAGAAGCTTTGGAAGTTGTGGCATCATTGAGCGAATATCTTTGCAGTCACCCGATTTAGCATCGGGAATATGGCCGCCACAGCAACAGAGACATTCATTTCCGGAGCTGAAAATCGCTTTTGAGAATGGTAGCGATGATTTATATAAACGAATTTCAATTTCCAGAATTTCAAGCTCACCTGACACAGTTGGTTCCATGCAAAAGATTGGCGATGAACTTGGCTTTCCCCTTTCCACCTCCTCCACCTCTTCCTCCTCTTCCCCCTCTTCCCCCTCTTCCCCCATGTCCACCCCGTTTATGATCTATTTCAACAGATTCATCATCTCCAGCTCCACCAAATCTTGGTCTTCTGTCTTCTTGATCGTCGTTCCAGCGTTGACCTCTTGATGATGGTCCTCTTTGATCATCCCATCTTCTATCACCTCTACCCCCTCCTGGGCCTTCTTCCGAACTACCTGCTCTTCCTCTATGTCCTGGTCCTCTTCTATCATCTCTTCTTGGACCTTCTTCTTCCGAACTACCTGGCCCTCTTCTATCACCATCTCCCCCAGGTCCCCAAGGCCGTCTCCTGTCATCATCTCTACCTGGTGGACCCCAGGGCCTTCTTCTGTCATCATCCCGGCCTCCTCTTCTATCTCTATCGTCGTCTCTACCTGGTGGACCCCACGGTCTTCTGTCATCATCTCCTCCTGGACCCCAGGGACGTCTTCTGTCATCATCACCACCTCGTCCTCCCCGTCTATCATCTCCTCCCGGACCCCAAGGTCTTCTATCATCTCTATCATCTCTGTCATCATCTCTGCCAGGTAGACCCCACGGTCTTCTATCATCACCACCTCGACCTCCCCTTCTATCATCTCCTGGTCCCCCTGGACGCCTCCTGTCATCATCTCTTCGAGACGGTCCCCAAGGTGGCCTTCTATCGTCATCTCCGCCTCTTCCACCACCAGGTTGTCCCCATGGCCTTCTGTCCCTATCCGATCCACCTCTCCCGTCATCTCTATCCCAGCCACCTCTTCCACCACTTGGCCCATCTCCGCCAGATGGTCCCCAGAGACTTCTTTGACCTCCTTGTTCCCAATTTTGTCTATATCCATCATCTCCAAAGTCACCATATTGACGATTGAATCTCGGGCTGTAAGAATCCATTCCTCTTTCTCTTCTCCACTGGAGGAAAGGGTTTTGGCTTTGCGATGAGCCAGTCCAGTCGTTGTTTGGTTGCCAAGGGCCCATCACTGAAAGCAATACTTGCATTTTGCTAGCACAATTACGATAGCCAGCCTAACAATACTAGCTACAGTCTCTTGTCTTACCGTATTTCAAACAGAAAGTATTCAGTTTACTGGTCAGCTACTGTAGTCAGACAAAGACTAGAATCTCCTAATATTCTCCTATCAAAACAAACTTTGCATTTGTGATCTCATTCCTTGGCTTCCCGAATTGGCATAGAAAGTGGATGGATCGTAGAAACCGGATTGTCGTTTCTTTCTCATCGAGTCATCCATATTCTCATCATCATCGTCTTGCATAAAATCCATTGCATCAAGAGCTCCCTAAAGCGAAATCTTTGAAGTCAGATCATCGTCTTTTTACTTGATGATCTCCACTCATCATCATTTCATTGATTTTCTTCATTCGATCTTTATGCAAGAACAATGGAGCCGGACATCCACCGAAGACTGAGGAGACTTTGCAGGCTTTCGCGTCATCACAATCGGCGTCAATTGGGCGAATTTCTTTCTTTCTGAAATAAACAGATTTAGATTTAGAAAGCTTAGAATTGTTTTAGAAAACTGAAATTGAGCCTGCAAGTCTTTTTAGTGCCAAAATTTCCCAAAGTACAACGAACAACTTGCTTATCGAAATGTTAAATCCGATTTAGATTCGGATATCCGATAGTTCTACAGTCTACAGAGTTTTACAACAATATTTACAACACTAAACATTAGTTTTAACAATTGCTGCAATGATAAAAAATGTTTTATCATGTTTTTAACAGTTTCTGATGCGTACTTGCACGTTTTTTATACCAAAAACAAGAGCAGAAGCCATAGACACACTAAAACCGCGTAGCTTTTGCCGAATTTAACCATTTTTTAAAAAGTAAAACTATGCTGTTTTAGCTCTATCATTGATTGCGCTGAGAACTGAGCTTAAATTGCATTAAAAACTGATTTACCAAAGCAAGCAATTGTTAAAGCTATTGTTGAGTCTAAATCGGATAACAATTATTGGCAAAAACGGGAAACATCTGTCATCGCACTATGCGCTAAACGTTAGCCTAATAGTCACTCAGCTTATTGTGCTTGAAAGATCTTGAAAGATGAAAGACAATTGTAAAGATTAAAGAGTAAAGATTAAAGGTTAAAGATTAAAGAGTAAAGATTAAAGGTTAAAGATTAAAGAGTAAAGATTAAAGATTAAAGATTGAAAGCTACAATTAATATCACAGTATACTGATACCATCTAAGCATCTAGGCATCTAGGTATTCAGGCTTCTAGGCTGAATATCTTTTCTTTCAATGGCGACTTTGTTACTGGTATATTTTGCAAAACAGTAACTGCAATGCAAGACAAAGTATGGACTTAAGATTATATCTAACTGTCAACTCTATAGCCTGTCATAATCTAAATCCCTCACTTGCACTGTTTCCCAGGTCGTGGACGTGGACGTGGGCGGGGTCTAGGTCTTGGTCGTCTCCCTTGTCCTCCTTGTCCTCCTTGTCCTCCTTGTCCTCCCTGTCCTCCTTGTCCTCTCTGTCCTCCCTGTCCTCCTTGTCCTCCTTGTCCTCCCAGATCTTCCATCGAACTCTCATCATCTTCCTCATCATCTTCCTCATCATCATTCATTCCAAAATCGAAATCCATTCCCATATCCATCTCATCATCATCATCATCCTCTTTTGTGGCATTTCTCGTTCGACATTTGAACGAATGTGTGCAATGACCGCATTTCGGTGGAGCGCCTCGTCGTTGATAGGCTGCTTGGATCACCGCATAGACTTCTTGAACTTTAGCATCGATGAACTAAAAGTATTGGGTAGATAATGGTGCTGCAAAGCTAGAATATCCCTTGAAGTATACAAAAATAATCGATTTAATAGATATTCAGTCGATTGAATATTTATTGAAGAATGTTAAAGGCATTAAAGAACTACAAATGGGCATTAAAAGCATTAAAGGTCTAAAAAAAAGGACTAAAAACGAATATAATACAATGTAACTAAAGTACAGTACGCTTTAAAGCATAGTAGCTACATATTAGTCCTACCGTAATGCGTATAAATGCTGTCATTATAAAAGTATTCAGCTGACAAAGCTAAATACCCTTTTCTTCGTTTGGAGATCTTTAGCTTACGATTAGACATAGTAGAATGCTATTTTTTATTCCCGTAATGGAACAAGAGACTCAGATTTTACTTTGTACTTAAACTTTACTTTCTTCTTCCTTCTCCTTTCTTCCTTCTTCCTTCTTCTAAACTTTACTTGCTTCTTTACTTCTTCCTTCTTCCTTCTTCCTTCTTCCTTCTTCCTTCTTCCTTCCTCTTTACAAAAGTGGTTTGTTTTGAGTTTTGAGATCTTGTGATCAGTGTGTTTACCCGGAGAAAAAGAAAAACACTGGGCAAACTTGATGCGGATCTTTTCCCCTAATAGATCACTTGGTTTTCATTTGATCTTTTAAAAAAATTGATAAGAAACGTTTTAGAGTAACTTACTTTTTGCAATGATTGCGGTACTTTCTTTGGATAGGTGATATTGGTGCATTCTTCAGGCAACGAACTGAAGTTCTGATCGGGCCACCAGCATTTCACCTGGAAATGACAGATTCTAACAGATTCTAGCAGATTCTAACAGATTCTAGCAGATTCTAGCAGACTCTAGCAGACTCTAACAGATTCTAGCAGACTCTAACAGATTCTAGCAGATTCTAGCAGATTCTAACAGATTCTAGCAGACTCTAACAGATTCTAGCAGATTCTAGCAGATTCTAACAGATTCTAGTAGACTCTAACAGATTCTAGTAGACTCTAACAGATTCTAGTAGACTCTAACAGATTCTAGCAGATTCTAGTAGACTCTAACAGATTCTAACAGATTCTCAAGCTTCTCAAGCTTCTCAAGACTTCTCAAGCCATCTCAACACCTCTCAAGACAACAAATCTCAACAATATTCAATCAAGATTCAAAAGCCCTCATTTGTGCAATGTGTTTTGACCATTTTAGCCTAGTGATTAGCGGTCTTGGCTAGTGTTCCAAAGAGCAAACGTTCGAGCTCGATTACCCAAAAATACTTACTCAAGAAAAGATTAAAAAATTAAATTTTAAATGAATTAAATTTAAATTTACCGTAACTATTTTTATACTTAAAGCTTAAAACCATTACGTAAGACCATTAAAGAATAATATAAAGAATATATGATAAAGAACGCGGCTACAATTATCAATTACACATCTATAAGTCATCAAATATGACTTTAAAACTTCAAAGTAACAAATGCCTCTTAGCCGTTTTTAATCCATTCGAAACTTCTGCAGCGAATAATCGCTGCAGCAAAAACTCAGGAACGGACCGCTGCAGCGATTATTCGCTACAGCGCTAATTGAGCTATTTTCATTCAATTAATTGCTTTTTTTTGCTATTTTTCAGCATTACATGTATATTCCAATTGTAGCAAATCTACAAATTACGTGGGCAAAAAAGATGTTTCATATTTACCCGGAATCAATGCAGTCTCTGGTTTTGCATTGAAATGTTCCATAATAGCTCTAATCTTGGCCGATTTCCTGCAGGATCCAGTTCATTATCACAAAAACGCAGGTTGCGAAGAATAGATTCAAATTTTGCTCTTGACATAATGTGGGACATGTGGAAAAATCCTCCTAATCCAGGCCTGCTACTCCAGTAGTCACGAATCCTCGATAATTTGACGATTCCCATTTGAAGCCAGGAAGAGCTTGAAAGATTTTGCATCGAAATCCTGCCAGTTTGTTTTCCTTTTTCCATGTTTATTAGATTCGCCTACTAAAATATTGATTAATTTGTCGTCGATAAAATAAGAACAATAATCGATAGGATCTTGAAAAGTACTGAAGTCAAATTCAAATCGTTCTTCATCAAAAATAAATGGTGTAGGAGACTCTCTTACATCTTTCCAACCATAAATAAACTGCTTCGGAGTCAAAAATGTCAAAAAAGGGCTTGGTCCGTAGACGAAAAAAAAGAAAAAACGCTGCGGTTTCGAATGGGTTAACCGATCTATAACCGATAATAACTTCATTGCAGTTGTGCTCATTCTTGTGAAATTTTTGTCTACAGATCAAACTGATCACGAGCATTACAGTAATCAACTCCCACCTCTTTCCAGTCTCCCCACTTTCCGCAGTGGTCCCGTTCCTTCTGCTCTGGACCCAAGCTGATGATTGCTAATAGAGTGGCTTTAGGATCCAAGATCTAAATTCAACTTTAAGCAATTCACATGTAAAAATTTTGCAAGTATTGGGTTAATCTCATTTTAAAGTCGAACCCTCATTCCATTACTGTTGCCGCCATTTTGATTTTGTCGTTGATCTCTTCCTTGGCCACCTTGACCGCCCGGGCCTCCTTGTCCTCCTTGTCCTCTTCCAGGTGGACCTGGTCTCTGTCCATCTTGTCCCTGTCCTTGTCCTTGTCCTGGTGGTCCTTGTCCATCAGGCCTTGGCCTTGGCGGTCCTCGTCGATTCGAATCGTCTCCATTATCTCCACCAGATTGAGACTGAGCCAAAACCGCTGTGGCCAGCACGGCCAGCAGCAATTTTGTGATCATGAAGCTAAACGATTTTGTTGGGTCACGGTTTGAATAGCTGAATCAAGGACTACGATAGGATTGGTAAGAGTACGGCAGGACTACGGTATGGCTACGGTATGGCTATGGTATGCCTACGGAAGAGCTACGGTAGGATTACGGTAGGTCTATGGTAGGACTACGGTAGGGTTACGGTAGAACTACGGTGAGACTACGGTAGGGGTTACGTTAGGACTACGGTAGGATTGCGGTAGGACTACGGTAGGGCTACGGTAGGATTACGGCAGGGTTACGGTAGGCCTACGTTAGAACTACGGTAGGACTAGGGTAGGATTACGGTAGGACTACGGTAGAACTATGGTAGAACTATGGTAGGACTATGGTAGGACTACGGTGAGACTACGGTAGGGCTACGGTAGGACTACGGTAGGATTACGGTAGAATTAGAGCAATACGGCAAGACTATGATAGGTCTATATCATAGTTGACATTTAGGAAGCTATAAGAAAAGTCAGGAAGTTACGAGGGTCAAAGAAAGAAGAGGTTGAGTGTTTGATTGTCAGAGAAGAACGTCAAAAACTAAATGAAACATTGCTACAACTTTTTCTTCTTATAGAAGAAGCTTAGCAAAGCAATATACCGAAGAAAATCAGCAGCTGAGTCTAACACAGTGAAACTATCAATTCTATAGATCAAAACCAAATGACATCAGTCATCATGAGTTCAAAATGAGAGAAGTGGTCACTCGTTTTTATCCGAAACCCTTTGCAGCGGTCCTTCTTATACTCGAAAGTTGGCCATTCGACTGGTGCCGATGTTTTCTATTTACCTCCCACGAAAAGTAAAGAAGGACCGCTGAAATGAAAAGAAATGAAAATGGACAGCAAACTGGGGAAAAGGCTCTCATTGGCCTGTCAAATATTGGCCTCGAATTCTGGTTATTCTTTCGAATTGCGGTTAACAAGGTAAGGAATTAGACAATAATTGGTCTTTGTTCTTGAATTTGGAAAATTCTAGTTAGCTAGCTAGCTAGACTATTGTTTCTTTGACTTTGTTTTCTAAAAGACTTCGTTTACCGTACTTTTCTTACAGTCTTGTGAAAGTAAACACTCTCTTGGTCTCTCGTTGCACTTTTGTGTTAGGGTAACGCTTTGATTGAAGTGCAGCGATGATCTGATGTTGATCGTATGAGAATAATGAAAAAAATGAAATGGTTTTAGAGTTTAATTGATTTAGGAGAGTTGTTTAGGAGAGAGATTGAGGAAATGATGTGTAAATGATTGGTCAATGAATCAGACAGATCAGTCAATTGATCTTTGCTCTTGATTACACATTAGACATTGGCTTTTGCTCTGATTTTGCTTGTACAGGGTTCCTCTTGGAGCACCAGGAAGTGGTAGTTGCTTAGGAGAAGATAGGGATGGTCGAATTCGACAACACGACCGTCTTGGAGCACCTGAAAGTGGTAGTTAACTTTAAGCGTTAAAGCAAACATGAAATCTGTTTCTGGGAGAGCCACAGTAATGCTTATCAGCTCTGCGCTCACTAATCTCATTCCACATTCAACAACAGACTTGTTGTTTTGAGCATAACCAAGAGTTTAGTGCATCAAAAGCTGTGCCAAAAGCTTGACTGAAGTGAATTACAGGGTGCTCATTATTTCCGGCGACTTCTTTTTGGTAGATCAGCTCCCAAGCGCTAAGTTCAACCCCAATGTGTTAAATGTTATATAAAATATTGAAGCGCTTAATCTTGGCTACATTTGCTCCTTAAAAGTTTCCAGATTGGAGATGCACAACTCATTTTACAAGTCTTTGAATGAGCACTTGACTTGAACTTGATTTTCAAACTTTTCAGCTCAAACTTGAGTAGGATGGTTCGGTCAAAAACAGTTCTTAACAGGATGTAGACATCTCGTCTAACTGACAAACTACGGAATGGCACTAACTTGAGTCGCCTTTTTGACTCCGCCTTACCTTATCTGATAGCGTTTTAAGCGCTGATTCCAAATCTGATTTTAGTTTCACTAACGGAGCCCTGTATCACGAGTTATTTGACAAAGAAGTTTAGGTCGCATTTTCTGATCTAATATAGACCTTCTTGCTTTCCGCATCATGCTTCTTGTTCAACACTTATAGGAGCGGGCCATCGATTACAGCATGATCTTTAAAACGAGTCCAACAATCCGAAAGAATACACTTGATAATAGGTGAACGCGAGACATGAATATCAGACTTAATCAGACGCGAGACTTAATCATCAACGCTTTTGTCATGCGTGGTTCCGGCTCTCACAACTAGATTTGGGTCAAAATCAATCAAAAAGAATTTTTAGCTTAAAATTTGCACTGAAATGCTAATCAATTCTCACAAAGCTCCGATTACAGTCAAACTTAGATAACTAAAGCACTTGTTCGTCTCACCTGGATCATTTGAATGCTTTAATCAGTGCTTTTAGTGCTTTTGTTCTTTAGCTTTAGCTTTGCTTTAGCTTTGCTTTAGCTTTGCTTTAGCTTTGCTTTAGCTTTGCTTTAGCTTTGCTTTAGCTTTGCTTTAGCTTTGCTTTAGCTTTGCTTTAGCTTTGCTTTAGCTTTGCTTTAGCTTTGCTTTAGCTTTGCTTTAGCTTTGCTTTAGCTTTGCTTTGGCTTTGCTTTAGCTTTGCTTTAGCTTTGCTGCTTTGTTTAGCTTTGCTTTAGCTTTGCTTTAGCTTTGCCCTTTCTTAGCTTTGCTTTAGCTTTAGCTTCTTTTGTTCTTATAAAACATTTATCATAAAAGAAACCTGACCCAGAAAAGGACCTGAAATGAAAAAGGGTAGAAGTGCATGAGAAGTGTTGGCTACGAGTTTGATATTTATCAATGCAAGATTAAAAAGTGAAAAAAATTGAGGCTAGAGTTGAGGGATTTATGTACAAATGATCAAAAATAAAAGCTTTTGATAGAAATTTGAGATAAATAATGGGAATTATGTACAAGAGTTGAGGATTAGTCGAGTAGAGATTTCTCGGCCTCGGGAACGGGTTTCGTTGGTTCGGAGGCCGGTGAGGGTTTCGCTTCGATCGAGAAATCGATCAAGTCGTCCACCTGGAAATGAATTTCTATGATTAAGCAAGCGTTGCTGAGAACAAAGCAATCGGCAAAGATTTTAAAGTCTTTTATGAAGAGCTTTGAAGAAGCGCTTGGAAGAGCCTTTTATGCTTCTCACAAGCCTTTTATAAAGATAGCCTTTTATGCTTGCTGTTTTCTAAAGTGCACCTTTCACATCTGTCTAGGTTGTCACTAGGAACGTCTCGTAGTCTGTGCCATTTTCATTTTATTTTTGCTCCCACCCATTTGGCTTTCACATTTTTTCTACAAATAGCTTGTGATTCTTTTATTCTTTTATTCTTTTATTTGTCTTCATTACTCTGGATAAACGCTAAATGTTATTCCGCAAGCAAGTCAATCACGTTACAACAGTCGCGAGGATCTACTACTATTGGGTTGATGAATTGAAAACTGCGGGACTTTGAACTAAAATTTATTCAAAATAAAACCATAAATTCATTCCAAATAATTTCCATTATTATTGACGACTTCTACCCATTTTACAGGCAATTTGCGGATTCCTCTTTCGTAGTAGGATTTTGGTTTATGTGTGAGACAAATGTGGGACTCAAAAATCGAGGACTGGAGACTGGAGAAGGACTCCCAGTTTGAACACTTTCTTCAAAAGAAACCCATTTTGGTGTGAATAGAAAAGTTGTAGAGAATCAAAAATTAGGCTTATAGCCAAATTTCCAAAAAGATACACTTAGTAGTTTCGCTTAAAATGCAAGTTTTGTTGCAAGTTTTGTGAAAATTCGTAAATTTGGCATTTCTTGAAAACCAGTTTTTGAATCGTTTTGGAAATTGGGCTATAAGCCTAATTTTTGATTCTCTACCACTTTTCCATTAACACCAAAATGGGTTTCTTTTGAAGAAGGTGCTGAAAGTGAGAGGAATCCGCAAATATGACAATAGACGGCAGTTTTCAATTCCAATACAACACAATGTAATTACCATATTTTCTCTAATAGTAGTGCACCCCACCAAATGCTGTAGATTTTTGTAGAAACGCATTTGAAATTTGACCCTCTAGTGCACGGAGCGATAGTGATCCCTGGGAATTTTTGTTGTGAACGCCAATAGGCGTGCAACGGAAAAATGGCATATCTCGGCCAATTTTGCTCCGATCTTTTTGGATTTTCATATCAATTAGCACAGAATTTCATTTTCTATCGATTGAAATCAAAGACGAAAAGATTGGAGTGAAATTGGTTAAGGTATTGGCATTTTCTATTGGACATCAATTGACGTTCAAACCGAAAATTCTCAGGTCTAGTGAATTGGATAATCTAGTCTCTAATCTAGTCTTTAATCTAGTCTTTAGTTTAAAACAATAATCAAATACAATCTCATAACTACGTCCCGAATCTTTAGGGCTACGTCCCGAATCTTTTTGGAATCATCCCGTATGCTGGGATCGACTTGGGCGTCTATGAGACTATGAAAAATCTCTACTTAAAGCGGAATCCAGAGGTGAATCTTGAGTATTGATAAAAAGTTATATAACATTAAGAAATCCACCTACCGTAAATACTATAATAGTACCCCCATCCCCATAATGACGGTGCGCTAGCTAGTCTAGCTTTGGACGCGTTTTGCTCGACACTGGTTTATGCTACAATGCGCGCTTAGGTATCAAAAAATAGCTGAAATTCAGGGCTACTTTTTGATACCAAAGACGCATTTTTTTCAAAGTACGGGCGCTTTGAAAAAAATGAAATACTAAAAAACTCCCGAGGAGTACGAGGAGAGGTGGGGTACTATTACAGTATTTACGGTAATCAAATTATCAGCTAACAGAACAACACTTTTCCTAACCACTTCAAAACGAATTTTACCAAGTTTAGTAAGAGTTTCGCCTTTCGCCAAGCCCTTAGCCGCTTACCTCTTTTTGCGGCGGTTGATCGGGTTTTCGTTCCTCGATTTGTGGCACCACAT